ACATGTTAACAGTTTTGCAAATTTTTCTTTTGTTCTTTAGTCTTCACACTAAAGATATGAATCGTTTGTGTACCATATTTATAATATTAGACCATTCTGAATATGTCAGTATAGTTACTGTTACCAGTGAGTTTATATTTGCTTCTTATTCATTAGCACCTCTTTGTTTCAATTGGAAGGACTCACTTTAGCATTTCTTATAAGATAGGTCTGATAGTTATAAATTCTTACAATTTTTTCTTTTCTGGAAATGTCTTTGATTCTCCTTCGTATCTGGAGGGTAGTTTTGCTGAGTATAATATTCTTGCCTGCAATATTTTTCCTTCACTGCTGTGAAAGTCATAACTCACTCCTTGGCCTATGAGATTTCTGTGGATAAGTCTGCACTCAGGCCAATTGGGACCCCTTTATATATTACTTGTTTTCTTTCCTTTTTTCTTCCTCTTCCTTTTCCTCTTCTTCCTCCTCCTCCTCCCTCTCTTCTCTTCCTCCCCTTCCCCTTTCCTCTCCCACCTTCCTTCCTCTTCCTCTTCCTCTTCCTCCTCCTCCTCCTCCTTCTTCTTGTTCTTCTTTTTGTGGCTCTGTTAATCCTCTCTTTTATCGTTAAACATGTACAGCCTTGGGCCCTGCCACTCACATGGGAGAGAGACCTGGATGAAGCTCCTGGCTCCTGGCTTCAGCCTGTCCCAGTCCTGGCTATTGAAGCCGTCTGGGAAGTAAAATGGTGGATGGAAGATCTCTCTCTCTCTCTCCCTCTCTCTTCCTCCATCTCTGTAACTGATATTCAAGCAAATAAATAAATCTCTTAAAAAACACATGGAGAGATTTATTATAATGTATCTTTGAGTAGGCAGGCTTGCTCAGATTGAATCTGACTGTTGACCTTTGACTTTTCTTATCTAAATATTTTATCTTTCTCTGTTTTGAGGTGTTTCTGATATTATGTCTTCAGATAGGCTTTCTACACTCTTGTCGTTCTCAAATCCATCTTGAACCCCCAGAAGTTGTAAATTTACTCTTTTCATGCTGTCCTGAAGTTTCCATAAGCTTTCTTCATTCCCCTTCATCCTTTTTTCTCCTCCAACTGTGTATTTCCAAATGTCTTGTTTTCCAGCTCAGTGATTCTTTCTTGTGTCTTATCTGTTCTTGTTATTAATGCCTTTTTTCGTGGTTTAATTATTTTTAGTGTGATCTTTCAGGTAAGAATTTCTGTTTGACTTTTTAAAATTATTTCTCTTTCAAGTCTCTGTTAGAGTACAAAATCATTTCTTTGTGTCCCACTGAAATTCAATGAGTTTTCTTAAAATAGTTATTTTGAAATCTTTATCCAAGCATTCAAAATTTTTTGTTTTTGGATGGTTGATTTGAGACACTTTATTTTGTCTTTTAGATGAGGTCGTGGAGTCCTAGAAGTTCTTTATGATGTTTCATGTACAAAATTGTATATTGAAGGACTAATTATGCTAATTACTTGTCAATCAGAATACATTATTTGTAGCTGTCCTAGAAATTTTAAGTAGTCTATTTTCTTTAAGCCTGTGGGCATTTCTGCTATCTCAGCACTAGGTGGCACCCTAAGTCCAGATTTACTGAAGGGCCACTATTGATGTGTTCTCACTGTTTGAGTCCTAAAATACTCTTCTGGTTTAGACTTCTCTCAAATCTTCAGTTGTTGTCCTGCTCAGAATTACTAGGGGAGAGTCTAAAAACGAATAATTTGTCCATATAAGCCTCCTCCTAGGGCTAGGGTGGGCCTAGCGACCTAGTTCTATGGCTGTAAATGCCATTATGATAGATCACATCTGGGGCCCACAGCTTATCAAGATCAGTGCACCTTCAGGCAAAACAGAATCCCACCCTGCTGTAGTCTGCTGCTGCAATGTATGAACTGCCTAATGCCACTTCTACCAGTCACTGATGATGCTGGTTTGAGTGTAAGATTGATTAACTGGGGCCATGGAACTCTATTTGGCATGTTCAGAGGCTTCAAATTCAGGTGCAGAGACAGTTAGGATCTGCTCAGTGTTGGATTTAACTAGCTTAGCACTGAACCCCAATACAGTCTTGTGGTTTCTTGCTTATCAAAGTGGGAGGAGGGGTGATCAGGGTAGCCCTTCAAATGCCTAGGCAATCAAAGGTGGGTCACTCCGGAATCTCAGAGTCATTAGGCTGTTTGTAATCTTGGTTGTGGGAAGAGTGGCAAGCAGGCCCATAGGAGGCTAACACTGAGACATATCAAAATGGTTCTGCTTTACCAGGGCTCAAATGTCTGCCTAATGCTGGGTCAAGTTTAGATGCCCCGTCCACAGTTATTTGCCTAGAGACAGGAACATTAGGAGCTGCCCAGTGTTAGCCTTTACCAGCCTGGTACTTGGTCCCAAAACAAAGTCCTGTGGTTCCTTATTGTCTGCACAAGAATGGAGGATTGTAAAAAGATATTCCTTGGCTACCTGAAATATAGATAGGTTGAGTCACACCTGGATGTCAACACTGGGCTCTAGAATGCCTCAGGGTAGTGTAATACCAGACCCAGTTGAGGCTGGCCATGATCTGTGCCGAAACAAGTCTGTCCCACTAGGGGGCAGGGCAAGTTGAGAGGCTCATGTGTCAAGTCAGTGTCTGTGAATGCTGATCTGGAGGTAGAACTCTTCAGGCTTTATCAGGTGCTGAGTGTCTGGGAAGAAGCATACCTGACTCTGCAAGTCCTAAGATCTTCCTTCTGCCTACACCACAGTGGCTGGAGTTTTGCTCCACTTTTGGCCAGAGGTTGTGGGAATGGTGGTAGAAGCTGCCTGGTTACAGAGGCTTCAAAGAGTTAGTTTGCAGCCACAGGCCTAGGGGTAGGGGACGTAGAGGCCCTGTCTGACTCTGAATTTCATTGCAGTTAGCCTGGCATTGGGGTTAAAGTCTAGGGTCTGAATTTAATTCTGTTTCCTCCCTCATGCAGGAAGTATCTCTCGCTCTACACTGTGCTACTTGGAGCTGCCAAGGAGTGATGTGGAAAGTTCTTTTCTTCCTGCTTTCTTCAATGCAGTGTGTTTATCTTATTATTATACAAAAGGCAGGCACTTGGGGTCTCTCACCTGTCTTCCTTAGTTCTTGTGAAGGTTTTTTTTTTTTTTTTTTTTTTAAGATTCACTTATTTATTGTTAAGGCAGAGTTACAGATTGAGAGAAGCAGGGGCAGAGCGAGAGGGAGAGCAAGACAGAGAGGTCTTCCATCTGCTGGTTCAGTTCCCAAAATGGCTGCAATAGCTCCAATGGCTGGGCCAGGCCAAAGCCAGGAACTGGGAGCCAGGAGCTTCTTCCAGGTCTCTCAAGTATTTGGGCCATGTTCCGCTGTCTTCCCAGGCCATCAGCAGAAAGCTGGATCAGAAGTAGAGCAGCTGGGAATCAAACTGGAGCCCGTGGGGGATGCTGGCACTGGAGGCGACCACTTAACCCGCTATGCTACAGCACTGACACCTGGAGGAGTTTTGATGCAGAATAGTTATTAAATTTGTGTCTCTGTGAGGAAATGGTCACTGTAGCATCTTATCCAGCCACCATTTTCACTCTCCTAGCTTTTTAAATGTGAGGACTAAGGTCTTTGATTTGAGATCTCTTTTAAAAATATAGTCATTTAATTTTCTTAATTACCTCCTAGTTGTTTAGATCATCTCATAATTATGTGTATATTTTTATTCAGTTCAGCAATACTTATTTCTCTTTAATTTCTTCTCTGAACCATGTTTTTTTTTTTCCTTTTTTTTTTTTATTTGACAGGTAGAGATATAGACAGTAAGAGAGAGATAGAGAGAAAGGAGAAAGGTCTTCCTTCCATTGGTTCCCTCCCCAAATGGCTGCTACGGTCTGTGCTGCGCCAATCCGAAGCCAGGAGCCAGGTGCTTCCTCCTGGTCTCCCATGCGGGTGCAGGGCCCAAGCACTTGGGCCATCCTCCACTGCACTCCCGGGCCACAGCAGAGAGCTGGACTGGAAGAAGAGCAACCAGGACAGAATCTGGCACCCCAACCGGGACTAGAACCCGGGGTGCCGGGGCCGCAGGCGGAGGATTAACCTAGTGAGCCATGGCGCCGGCCTTGTGTCTCCTAGTCTATCTTAACAAATTTGGAAGTGCACATGAAAAGTATGAGGATCCTTCTGTAAGGGTTATGTAAGTGCCTGTTAGGTCACTTACACTCTTAGAGTTGTTGAAATTTTATAACATAATTGCTCATTTTCTATGTGTTTTACCATTTGTAGAAAGAATGGTATTAAAATATCTCGTAGACTTGTCCCTTTTTTCATTTCTGTCATCTTTTGCTTCGTGTGTTTTGAAGCAGTTATAAGGTACATAAACACCTCTGATAATATCCTTGGTTCAAAATATGCTTCATGTGCTATTAACATAGGCAGTCCATTTTTCTGTCAGTTACTGTTAGCCTGGTGTGTAACTTTCCACCATTGTAATGTGTCTTCATATTTGAAGTGCATTTCTTCCCTACAGCATGCAGTTGGTTCTCCATAAGCATACCTATGATCATTTAATTACTTTTTGGTATTAAATCCTCAAAAAGATGCCATAGTCCTAGGGAAGACATGCTACATTCTTGATCATTTAAAACAGTTAAATATTTTCAAAAATTTGTTTTTTCTTTGTTATTAATGTTAAGTACAGAAAACAAAAGTTGTGAGGTAGTAGCATAACAAGTTGCCATATGCCCCTCACCCCAGTTCTCATATTAACATCTCTTATTAGTGTGTTTGTCTGTTTGTCTCAGTTAATGACTCACCCAGCTTCCCTATTGTTAAATGCAAACTCCTTCTCATCCCTCTCAGCCTCTAGTAATCAACATTCTGTGTTCAGGATGAGGTTTTTTTTTTTTTCTTTCTCCCACATATAAGGGAGAACATGTGGTATTCATCCTTCTGTGTCTAGCTTATTTCACTCAACATGATGCCCTCTGCTTCTATCCATTTTGCTGCAAATGACAGGATTTCTTTCTTTTTTTGTGTCTTAGCATCTAGAGAATGGCACATATGTAATGGATGAAGTTTGATGAGTTGGGACATAGACAAGCACTCTTGATGCCATCACTATGATTAAGGTAACTGACATATCCAGCACTTCCCCAAGTTTCCTCAGCTCCTTCCATTTTTGTGTGTGGATAGAAAGAACTTAAGATCTATGTGCTTAACAAATTTTTGATGTGATCTTGTTTTTTAATTATTTTACTTTTTATTATGAATTATTTTTCTGTAGATTTGGGTTTTGCTTCTTTTCTAATATCTTGTGTTCAATACTTAATTATTTTTTGTTCTTTCTTTTTTCATAATTCTTGAAGGCTATATCATTTCTTGAAAGCACTGCTTGGGAAATCCTTCCACTTGTCTTGAATCATGTTGTTTAGGGTAACATTTCAGCTGTTTAAAAATTAGAAAAGTATCAACATTCCAGAATTTGGTTTTCTCATATTTCTATGATTTCTATTTTTTATTACAGAAAATTTGGTCAATTATATAACTTCCTTTTAAAATATTTATTTGAAAAGCAGAATCACTTCCCAAATGACCTCAAAAACTGGCACGTGGTCATACAGAAACCAGGAGTCAGAAACTCCATCAGGATCTCCTATGTACTTGAGACATTTTCCTCTGCTTACCCTCAGGCACTTTAGCAGGGAGCTCGATTGGAAACAGAGCAGTAGAATGTGAACCCTCACTGTAATATAGTATGCTGACGTCACAAATGGCAGCTTAGTGTGCTAAGCCACAACACTGGCCCCTTCTGCATTTTGTTTACTTATTTTATTGACAAATACATACATATTTTAAATGAATATTTAATGGGCTTGTACTGTGGCATAGTAGGTTAAGCCTCTGCCTGCAGTTCAGGCATCCCATAGGGGTGCCAGTTTGAGTCCTAGCTGTTCCACTTCTGATCTAGCTCTGTGCTACTGGCCTGAGAAAGCAGCAAAAGATGGCTCAAGTGCTTCAGTCCCTGCACCCACATGGGAGACGCAGATGAAGCTCCTGGCTTCGGACCAGCCCAGCTCTGGCCATTGTGGCCATTTGGGGAGTAACCAGCTGATGGAAGTCCTTTCTCTCTGTCTCTCCCTCTATCTGTAACTCTGCCTCTCAAATAAATGAATAAATAAATCTATAAAAATTAATGAATGCTCAAAGAACACAGGAGTTTTGGGAGAGTGCTCTTTACATTAAGTTCTATATAAAGATTTGTTATGTAATTTCAAGCTATTTGGGGAATTTGGGTTGTACTTGTTTTATTGATTTCAAGCTTAATTCTATTGCAGTTAGGGAAGCATATTTTGACTTATTTCAATAATTGAAATGTACCCATGTTTCCTTTATGGTCCAGTGTATAATAGATTTTGGGAAATAGTCCATATACATTTGTAAAGGATATACGTCATCATTGTTGAGTGATGTGTCCCCTAGACAACATTAGGTCAAGGCTTGTAATTGTGTTGTTCAAATCTACATTCTTTCTGATCTTTTCCACTTTTTCTGTCAACTATTGAGAGAAAATAGTTAAAGTTCCCAAATATAATTTTATTGTGGATTGGTTTATATCTCTTTTAGAGATAAGATAGTAAGAGGACTCACTAACTCAAGCCCCTGCTGACCTGACTTGTACCCCTCCCCTGAGTATGTATCCGTCTCCAGCTACAGATCAGTCAGGAGTAAGGCGAATCCAGACCCTAACCACGAAAGACTACTGCCCATAAGGCACTATGCCAGAATGCATGTATACCCACCTTAGCCCAGCTCCACTGATGCATGACCTTCCCATTGTCCTTGCTGGAGAGGCAGCAATGAGCAACGCTGCCATTTGGAGTGTGTCCTGTGCAGAAGAAGGAACTGTGCCTGCACAGAACCCAGAGCTGAGTGCAAACCAAAGTATGATGCTGAAAGGGACAAACCAGAACTCCAGGCCAGTGCAGATTGAAGTGCTTTGTGATAAGTGGGAACCACCATGCTTCCCCATCCGATAAAAATCCCTGCCCAGCTCCCCCTCCCCTCCTTGAGCCAGTCAGCAGAACCTCTTCCCATCCTGCTGGTTCTTCTGTGCTTGAGCATAAGCCCCCAGTGATCTTTGCCTGGGTTGCATGTTGGACTCTTGTTAGTTTCTATTTGCAAATGAGCCAAAGAACTTGGGCTCAGTATCATTTTTAGTTTTATCAACTTCTGTTTTTCATGGTGTCAAAGTTAAGGTTTTTCTTTTTTTTTTAATTATTATTATTTTTTCTTTTTTTGACAGGCAGAGTGGACAGTGAGAGAGAGAGACAGAGAGAAAGGTCTTCCTTTTGCCGTTGGTTCCCCTCCAATGGCTGCCATGGCCAGCGCGCTGTGGCCGGCCCAGTGCGCTGATCCGAAGCCAGGAGCTAGGTGCTTCTCCTGGTCTCCCATGCGGGTGCAGGGCCCAAGAACTTGGGCCATCCTCCACTGTACTCCGGGGCCACAGCAGAGAGCTGGCCTGGAAGAGGGGCAACCGGGACAGAATCCGGCGCCCCGAGCAGGACTAGAACCCGGTGTGCTGGTGCCACAGGTGGAGGATTAGCCTATTGAGTTGTGGCGCTGGCCAAAGTTAAGTTTTTTCTAAGAATGTCTTTTGTCTTTGCTCTGTCTGCACCCTTATACTTTAATGTCCTCCTAAAACTAGTAATAGTTGAGTCTTTTTTTTTTTTTTTTTTGACAGGCAGAATGGACAGTGAGAGAGAGAGACAGAGAGAAAGGTCTTCCTTTTGCCGTTGGTTCACCCTCCAATGGCCGCCGCGCTGCGGCTGGCACGCTGTGGCCGGTGCACCGTGCTGATCCGATGGCAGGAGCCAGGTGCTTCTCCTGGTCTCCCATGGGGTGCAGGGCCCAAGCACTTGGGCCATCCTCCACTGCACTCCCTGGCCACAGCAGAGAGCTGGCCTGGAAGAGGGGCAACCGGGACAGAATTGGGCACCCTCTCCGGGACTAGAACCCAGGTTGCCGGCACTGCAGGTGGAGGATTAGCCTATTGATCCACAGCGCCGGCACTAGTTGAGTCTTAACAGCATATTATTTCCTTTTAGAAATACTTTCATCAGCCATGTACATTATCTCCTATGCGCTTCTCAATTTGCTCCTATGTTGCACAAAATTTGGAGTTCTTTCTATAAATTGGTTATATCCTTTTGTTGAAGACATTGTCCTTTTATCACTGTATTTTATTTTGGAAAGTTTGGGTGAGTATAGTGGTTTAAAAATATCTATACTCCATTTCATTATTACTGGTAGTCTCAATACCATAGCATTTTCAGTTATACCAATGTTAGTTTGAATCATTCTTTCCACTGAGTAGCTGCACATAAATCATTTAATTAGTTTGTATCCCAGTTTTCCATGGGTTTGTTGTATAGACTAAGTAGGATAATTTATATAAAGACTTTAGTGACTCTGTAACTAATAGATGATCTTAAGACTTACACATCCATCTTTTCATTTCTAATAGCATTATCATGTTAATAGCATGACAAGTGAGGGTATTGTGAGAAGTTTGGAAGGTTAAAGGGGCAGCTCATGTGTTCAAACACTGAATGGTCTTAGCTTGGGAAGGATAGAGATGACTGGAAACAAATTGCCACGGCCAGAACTCTCAGACCATCTCTTATCTGGGTCAACTTCGTTCTTGCACACCATCTCCCTCTTCCAGCTGGCAGAGATAACAGATTATAGAGATTCAGGAATTATACACATTCAACTTCATAAACAATTAGGATGGAAGCAGTTTGATCTCAAATGCCAGAGGAGGACTTTTTTTGTCCTGTCCTGGCACTGGTCCATTCTTTTCAACAATTACTACGGCAAAGGAAAGAGAAGTATGGTTATGGAATTTCTAAAATATATTTGATCCTGTTATATTTCTTGCTTTCCCTTTGTGCCAGAATGGTTCCAATCCAAATAAAGAAAATAACTCATTTTTAGCATAATTCTGAATGCTCTGGATAATTGGAGATGCCTTAAAAGATATTCAGTAATCTGTGCAGCTGTGTGCTGGGTCATGCTGGAATTCAACCAGTCCTTCCTAAGGACTAGGGTAAGGGGATTCTCTTACTTCCATACTTCCTCCTAGCGTCAATGTTGAACACAAGGAAACCCATGTGGCCTCACTGGGAAATTCTCCTAACACTGATTTATTTTTTTTCCTCCATCTTTTGTTCACCTCCTCACTTGCACCAAAACTTTCTTGGCATAGGACTGATGACATGACACTTTTCCCACAGACAGCAGGCGAGCAAGTGTGGATTAACAGGCCCAATTTTACACAGCTCTTTGTGTACCAACAGGAGGTTGACAACTATTAGGAAAAGGGAAAATGTGCTGGGTACTTAATATGTGCTTAACATGTTACATGGCAGTCTCTTTCCATTTGTACAATAAACCTGAGAAGGTACCATTTTACAAATAGAGTCCACCAAGATTAAGTTACACATACAAGGTTGCCAGGTCATTAATAATATTAGAAGAGAAGGCAGTTGGCTGGCACCTTGGCTCACTGGTTAATCCTGCGCTGGCATCCTGTATGGGCACCGGGATCTCGTCCCAGTTGCTCCTCTTCCAGTCCAGCTCTCTTCTGTAGCCTGGGAGGGCAGTGGAGGATGGCTTGGGTTCTTGGGCCCCTGCACCCGCCTGGGAGACCAGGAGGAAGCACCTGGCTCCTGGCTTTGGATAGGCGCAGCGCCAGCCATAGCAGCCATTTGGGGAGTGAACTGATGGAAGGAAGACCTTTCTCCTCTCTCTCTCTCTGTCTATAACTCTACCTGCCAAAAAAATCTAAGAAAGAGAGACAACTAAGAAAAGCAGGCAGTTAACATCTGTGCCCATAGTTGTCATTAGTGTATTACTCCCCTTCCCTGAATCTCAGTGAAGAGGAAGCAGACACTAACCATTTAAGAAAAATAATATTATGTAATAAGGAGTTTAATTTTTTATTGTTTTAAACAAGCAAATTAATTTCTTTAACAAAAATAGGTCTTTTCACATGTGATCTGAAGATCTTGGTCTATTAATTCTCCTGCCAAACCCATACCTTTCTTTGGGGTGATTTGTTTACCCAATTGAATCTTTCTTTTAGATTCCTACTTACAGATATAAGGGCCACTGAACACTAAGAACAGGCTAGAGCACTATTCACTGTTGCTGCAGTGCTAGCTCTCCAAGAGACAGAACTGTCTTCCTTTGAGCTGACTCTGCTTTTTGAGGTGAATATTTCATTGGAAGTCTTCAAAATTAAGAATTAATGTGTATTTCATCACTTTAATGAGGACGCAACAATGGAGTGTCATTTTATTATTATATTCATTTTATGCAATTCAAAAATTATGTGTGTGTGTGTGTATACAAGGGTACTTCAAAAACTTCATGAAATAGAATTAAAAGGTAAGTTATTTTGGTGGAAAAGTATCTTTAAATCCATGCAAATATGAGGAGTTTTCAAAAAGTTATTAAAATTTGTATATTAAAAAACTACACTTGATTTTCAAATTTTATTTGGTGCAAAAAAATCTGGAAATCCATGCATCTGTGGGATCTTCAAAAAGTTCCAAGGCAACAAATAGTCTGAAAACATAGTACATGGTTTTCAAAATTTTTTACGTTCAAATAAAGTTATCTTTCAATTCTATTTTCCATAAACTTTCAGGAGTACCTTCATATTTAATTCCTGTAAAAGAGCACTTGTGATTTATTTTATTGGTAGGCACCATATGATTCCTGGTGGAATCCCAGGGAGCAGAGTGCTGTATGGCAGCACACCTGAACACATTTTATGAGTTCTAGTCCACCTGCTCCAGGAAGAAACTGGAGTTTTTATTACTAGAGTTACAATAGTTGCTTCTCAAAAGAGAAGTATACTATTTTGCTGAGCTGAGTAATCAGTGGAGGGTATGTAACATCTGACTTGTAACCAACATTAGTCAGCCCCATTAATTAATGGCTGGGGAATCTGCTTTGTCTTTTAAAAGGATAAAATCTAATTGTGGTTCAAATTAAACAGTCTAATGAAAGTAACCACAAGGCAATTGATCAAAACTAATAGGTCAGTAGTTTTGCTTTCGTTAAGTAAACCTCCTGTTTGTTAGGCATAAATACCTTAAGGGGCTTAACTCAGGTTATTGATGTATCAGAACCTCTAGAGGAAGTACAGCCAATTATTGTTGGGACTATTTTTAAAATAGGAATTGAGCTTAATAAAAGCATGTTTTCTCATTGTCCTATTCAACAAATATTTATAACATTTCTAGTGTATGCTGTGTGCTGGGAATTAAAAAAGAATAATGCAGCTATGGCAATAGAAGTTAGAATATTGAAAATTAAAGCAGTGAATTTTGTCATCTTGCAATGATTTATTTATTTATTTACTTTCTTATGTACTTGAGAGGTATATTTACAGACAGAGAGAAGGGGAGGGGGGGGCTTCATATCCGCTGGTTCACTCCCCAAATGGCCAGTATGGCTGGAGTTGGGCCAATTCGAAGCCAGGAGTCAGCAGCTTCTTCCAGGTCTCCCACATGGGTGATGGGGCCCAAGCACTTGGGCTGCCTTCTGCTTTCCCAGGCCATCAGCCGGGGACTGGATCAGAAGTGGAGCAGCTGGGACTGGAACAGCGCCCATATGAGATGCTGGTGCCTCACGCAGATACATAACCTACTATGCCACAGTGCCAGCCCCACAATGATCATTTTTAATTAATTATGTTCTTCATGTTTTACTTTCAAACTTTCTTTCTTAAATTTTAACTTATGAAAAAGTGTACCTTTTAAAAGATAAAGGATGTAGTATTGATTATTGTTATTATTCCAACTGTATATTATAATGAACACTATTATCTAGCTTACCCCAATATTTAAGGGAAGAAAGCATTTGAGAGTTTAAAAGGGTTATAACATTGGGACTTGAATTGGTATGATAACTCTTTATATCTCTCTTTCTATCTTATATAATTCCCTACTATCTACCTTTTATCCTCACTGCTTCAATGTGGTAATTATAAGACATAATAATAATAGTAATAATAATAATAATATTACACATGTCTAAGTAGAGCCATTCAAAATTTACTCAAGATCAAGTTCACATTATCTTTGTAGGACTAAATGATGGATTGTGTTATAGAAAACTAACAACTTAATCTTCTCATGTTATGATAGAAAGTATTAATTATTTTTTCTTGGGATTGAAAAATTCTTGAGAGAATTCTGAAAGTAACAACATGTTGCTAAAATGAGCTAAAAATTAAGAAATTGCAATATAAACAAAAGATGAGAGAATGAGTTCCCACTAAACTTGCCATATAAGAAATGCTACAGAAGGTTCTTCAGGTTGAAATAAGTAGAGATTAACCACATAATTCCTAATGTTATGATCTCTGATATGGGTAAAAAACAAATTCAAATATAAAATTCAGGATTATTGCAATTTTTGTTTGTAATTTCACTTTTTTACATGATTTAAAAGGAAAATGAACTAATATAATTAAAAAT